CAAAGCAGACTTTGCATACTCGACGTCTCAAAGCCGGTAGCGTAGGATAGCCAAAGGCCATGCGATCTGTCTAGTTCTTATCTTTCTCGTCTGACAACATTCGATGAAGCTACTTCGGAGCAAGCACTGAACATGCGACACGTGGTGTCACAAATTCAGATCCGCAGGTCTGCTCTGTACATGTCCCATCATCTCTGCACTGGCTCTGTATGTTTGCTGTATCGAAGAATTTCTTGACATCAATGCCGGCGACAGGACACGAGCTCAACAAGAGTTTAAGAACCCGTGCCATAGCAGGGAAGCTTCCAGCCCAGGACACCGTTCGGCATATGACGTGTGGTGTCCCGTCTCTGTAGCTGCCGCAATGACCTGGGTGCTACTGTTTCATGCCCGAGGTGAAAAAAAACACCTTGTCGCTGTGGCCATCACAACAGCAACACCAAAAAGGAATAAGACTCACAAGAAGAAGTTACAACAAGAACATCCATGCGGATGTGCAGTCCTGCTGTTTGTGCTGCTAGCCGTGATGGTCGCCGGGGGTTGGTTCTTCTTGCGGCTGTGGCTGTCGTCGTTGCAGTCTGGGCCCTTCCAACACTGGCATATGTTTGGCCATTATTCGGATTTTGGTTTCACAAGACGTCTGCCAAAACGGCCGAAGCCCAGAAACACAAACGCTGAAGCTCGGAAATCCATTCCTTCTTGAACAAGAAGTTTCTCTGTACCTTCGAATTTCGGACAGACAGTTTATGCCATCTAAGGTTCAGGGTGTTCAGATCGCGGACTGTGGAACTGAACAGTAGGCCCAACCGAATGACTATGATCAACACCTCTGAGCGCTACCACGCCAAGGATAAGATCAACACCTCCCCCGAGCCCAACCATTGACCACGTCCTTGAAAAGCACCGAGCCCGAATTGACACCATGCGTCTTTCTGAAAATCGTCCAAAAGCCCATTATCGAAACAGGAAGCTCAACTCGGTGCAGTCCGGCTGCCGCGTGGTGACCCTGTCGCAGCCACTCAGAGGGGCTGTAGAAGGCTCGGACCTCTTTGTCCCTTTTTGCTTTGACGCTTTACGTAGTTCTTTCACTTTCGACGAGTCTGGGTGGTTTCGAGGAATGCCAACCTGAAAGGTCTTAAAACCCCACGCGCATGTCTGCCCAAGCAGCTGGCAGCAGCCAGATTCTACCGACCTCTTCACGCATCCGTCTGAAGACAAAGTGATGTCAGACAATTGGCAGCCAGACAGACAAACAGACAGACATACCTGTAGACATATAGGCGTGCATATCTGTACGTGCACAGTGGACGGCAGCCAGTACCTTGCTTTGTTCAGTTTGTATTGGGTCAGGGTCAGTTGCCTTGCGTGGTGTCAAGTTTTGCTTGGCGACCGTCATCTCCGTGTTCCGTCTCCATCTTCGGTTGCGTCCAGCTTCGAACTGAGCATGCCAAACCGGCAGATGTGATGCAGTCCCGAACTCTCAATCGGGTGCATGGTCTTGGTTTTTCAGGCGTGTAGCCGAAATCAGACAAGACAACTTCCCGGAAGGCTGGACCCTTCTTTTCGAAGCGCTTTATCGCATGACGTGGGGCAACTGCACTGCCTTCGTCTACCAGATGCTTGGTGCATGGGTTCCGTAGTGCCGCATTGCGGGCCGACAGCTTCTATGAGTTGGGTTCCATCCAAACCATGAACCCAGATCCCGAAAGCTGAATGACGCCGATCATCCTGACCTAGTGCTCTTAGTCATGTTCACACTACGAACAGAACCATGATGACTGAAAGACTCATTGTCGTTTTGCTTGACCCAACTAGTTGTAGTAGGAAGACTTTTGTCTCCACCTTCTTTGTAAGCTCCACCTTCTTTGTAAGTCCCACGTCTACAAACTCCGACCTCAGGAAGTCTGAGACGATGGCCCGTTGCGGTCCGGCCTAGATTAGCCCGTATCTGGCGACAAGGATGGGAAACCCATAGAGCAGCATCAGATGCGGCTTTTCAGTAATATCGGAAGTCTTGTCAACAAGTCCCCTAAACCCTAAACCCTAAACCCTAAACCGTACTGTTACATCCTTTCGCATCGTCCCTTGTACTCGAGTCCTTTGAGCTGGTTTCAAGCCCGTGGCGCCAGAATACGACGTTGTCCCATGGCCGAGAGCACAAGCACAAAAAGGGCTGGCTTTGCCCTTGCATCGCACTTGCGTCGGGATGAGGGATCCTCACTGCAAGTCTTGAAGCTCTAAGCCATGTGCCGTGCGTTTTCTCCAGCTGCTCATAGCATGAGCAGTCGGAGGCAGGAGCTAGGATCTGCAAAACGCTGTACATGCTAGTCGGGAATCGCGAACGAGTGCGCCAGAAATCACAGTAACTGCTGAGAGACTTGTTGTAGTCATGTCATATCTTGGTGCTGCTGGTGCTGGCAACGATGATGGATTGAACAGATAGGAGAGGCCCTGCGGCAAAAATCCACAGCTCCAAGCCCCGGTCCCCGCCATGCGCTTGCCCTCTTCCGTGCCTTTTCCAGTCGTGCGAATGCCAGGCGTGCCCGTTGTCTGAGACGAGGGCTGAAATTATCGCATGTTCCGATGTAAGGTGCAGAGTTTATAAGTGTTAGCCACTCAGTAAAGGAGTGCGCTTTTCGTGCCATGGAGACGTCGGCTTCCAGGAACTGAGAGTTTGGGTTAGCTTTTTGCGGATTTGGACGTTCGTGCTTTAGCAGCTCTTTGGGTGTCGGGGTCGGGTTTGCGGAAGGGTGCGTATGCAAATCCCAAAAGAGCTTTCCATGTTCACCCCGAAAGATTGACAAGTTGGATTTCTGCCTCGTGTCCTCGAAGGCCATGGCTGCTTGCAGGCAAAGCACGATGGATCCCAGGCAGGACACTGAATTCTGATGTCCTGGTCCAAAACCCCAAAGTGCTACAATCACATTTGACGATGCCATTTCTATCCTCTTCCAGTCTTTCACCCGATGGCGAAAGCCACGATGAAAACGATTATAATGATGATGCTAATGAAGATTATGATGACGATGAAGATAACGATGACGATGGTGGTGATGATGATGATGACGATGATGATGCTCACGATGAGGAGGAGGATGGCGAGCAAGAGCAGCGTCGTCGTCATCGTCGTTGTGGCGGCTGGCCGTAGCAGTCGTCGTCGTAGTATCAGAAGAAGGAGTAGGAGCATTAGGAGCAGCAAGTAGTAGGAGTAGTAGGAAAAATTGGAGTACTAGGAGTGTTCGGAGCTGTAGGAGTAGTAGGAGGACAGGAGCAGCAACAGCAGCAGGAGAAGTAGGAGTAGGAGGAGTAGAGTAGTGGGAGTAGCTGCACGTAGGAGTAATAGGAGCAGGAGGACTGAGTAGGACTAGGAGTAGGAGGAGCTGCTGAGAACTGAGTAAGAGGTGGAGGAGGTGGAGGCGGCGGATGAGGAACACGGGCGGTGGCGGTTGTGCACGAACTGGTGGTGGTAGTCGTACTGGTATAGTGGTAGTGGTGGTGGCGGGAGTGGTGGCGGTATCGGCAGTAGTAGGGGTAGCCGTAGCGGGAGCGGTAGTAGCGGTAGGGGTAGGGATAGTGGTGGTGTTGGTGCTGGTAGTGGTATAGTGATTTGTGGAAGCAGAAGCAGTAGCAGTAGCAGTAGCAGTATCTGTGACTGTCAGTAGTAAGTAGCAGTCGTCGTCGCAATAGTCGTGTTCGTCGAAGTACTAACAGGAGGCGTGGTGGTGTGTGGTGGTGTTGGAACATGCCGACAAACCGCTGAATCGAAGCGACATATTATTGAGTTTGATTCAGCATTCCACGGACAGACCTAAGTTCTTAAGGCGTTCAAAGGTTCGCCCAGCAGAAATGAACACCCGAGCCTGCCAAACTCAGGTAGGCCCGAAGCCTTACATCCCAAGTTTCAAAGTAGAGTGCAACCCGGTTGGGCCGGTGTGCCGCCGGGCCCAGAACATTGGATTGTGATCCTTCGGCCCACTCTGTCTGCGAAGGCTTCTGACAAGCAGACTTGGCCGAGTGGCCGCAGCCCAAGGTGTGCAGGCCGCGATGGAGGCAAGGTTTTGAAGCATACCTGGGTCTCTCAACGATTGTCGGGCTTGTGGCGGAGGAAAGATGCTTGGGCTCGGCGGGATCGTTTGCGGACGTTTATGATGTAGGAGGGTGTATCTATGAGCCGTTACAGGCTTGAAGCCATGAAGCTGCACTGCCCTGCAGCCCCATTCCCCGATCCTCGCAAGGAATTTCGACATCCCTCGCTGAATGCCGCAGGTCCTCGCGACCGCCGGGGAGCAGTCGGTGCAGCTCAACGATATTCACTTCAACACCCTCATGGCTGCAACGTCGAAGATGAGAAGGCTTGGGTTCGGAGTTCTGCGGCACGTGTAGCAACATGGGTGCAAGGCAAGGTTACAGGCTGTGCAGGTAGACTCAGTTTCGAGGAGCTTGCGTTTGAGCATGCTTCAACGGGTCTTGGAGGCGTAGTGCTTCCTTGTGCTCTGAACCTTGGGAAGTTTCCTTGAGTGTTACATCAAAGTCACATCCCAAACCCGAAGCACTGTATTGTCCGAGAGGTCGCAAATGCTGGAGACACGAGCAAAGCTTGCTTCGACACGTTCCGTTCTGGTAAGACTGTCAATGTAAGAGGCTGGGCATATATTGCAAGAACATAGACGTAGTCACATCATCGTTCATGTACCGAAGGAGGCGAATATGTGCACTCAATTGCAACGGCTGGGGGGGGGGGGGGGGGGTGGAATGTAGGGATACCTCGATACCGTGCATGAAGTGGTAGAGCAGGTTCAACTCTGAGAAGTGGCACAGCTGGACTCGGACCCTAGGAGCACAGCATGTGCGAAGTTGGATTGGCGCATGGAGCCATGTAGATACCGTTTCAGCATGGTCTGCCACTTGCAGTTGATCCAAAGGCGTAGTAACTAATCTTGTCAACCAAGGAGGCATAAAGAGCAATCGCGTGACGTTTGCCGGTGCACCTCAGCTTAGCGATGGGATGCCGTGAGCGGACTGGTATCGAGGCTGATCTGAACTACCTCGCACGGCTACCAGTACAGAGCGTCGAACAGCCGTGGCCTTTGCTGGTGTTTCTACATGGAGCTGGCGAGCGTGCATCTGGCTCTAAAAAGAAGGATTTGAAGCTGCTGAAACGACATGGGCCTTGGAATGCCGATGCCTTCATGGTAGTCGCACCACAATGTCGGCGGGAGCAGGTGTGGCCATCGTTAGCGCAGCAAGTTGTCTTCTTCACGAAGAGGATCTGCACTTCCTTCCCGATCGATATGAAACGGGTGTACATCACGGGCCTTTCGATGGGTGCCTTCGGGTGCTTTGCTGCAGCCGCCAAAGCGCCTTCCCTTTACGCAGCTTTGGTGGGCCTTGCCGGCGGCTTCGCAACAGAGCTGCCGAGCTCTGCGGGCGTGGGAACTTTGCAGGCCCTGGCGAAGGCAGCGCCGAAGCTCGCAGAGGTCAAGCCGATGAGGAAGCTGCCAATCTGGCTTTTCCACGGTGTGCGCGACAAGACCATCCCCGTTTCTGGTTCTATGGGGCTCGTCCGGGCGCTGAAGGCGGATAAGCACCGTCAAGCAGAAACAAAGCTGACAAAGCTTGATGCGAAACACTCCATTTGGAAGAGAGCTTACGGCCGGAAGGACCTGTACCGATGGCTTCTGCAACACCAGAGCGAAGGGAAAGCGAAGAAAATCGCGGGTATTGAACTGGACGGTGGGTCTTTCAGAGTGAGGTTTTCGAAGAACAGGAAAAGGTTAGATGGTGGCAGATTTCGGGAGCTTCGGGATGCAGAGGCTAGAACACTTGAGCTCAGGCGCCAAAGCGGCGTGTCGAAGTTCGGGATGTGCCGACCAAAGAAGCGGCCACGTAACTAGGCGATGGCTGCTTTCTCTCACCAGCCTGTTGCAGACGTCCAGAGCTCATCATTCGGAGGCGTAGCAGAAGACGGAACTCCTCGGAACCATGCAGAAAAGCCGAGTGATGCCGAGTGTGCCCATTCCTTGGAATCTCAAGATGGGTGCCCCTCCTCCATAATGTGATATTCGTTGTGAGTCTTGACTTCGATTTGGCGTTTTGAGAGGTTTTTGAAGCGACGATCGTGACATGTTTAGCCCTTGCCTCTTGCTCGGGGTACATGAACCATCATGAACCTCTTGATTCTGGCAACAGTTTCGGTTCTTATTTGAGGTTTCCGAAAACAGGTGGCCCTAGTATAGTAGCCTCAAATAGTAGGATCCTTATTGTANNCCCAAATAAGGTAGCCTAATTTTCGGTAGCTCCCTGAAAGTCTCGGTTCACAGAGGTGGGACGCAGCTCTTGGCCTGGCCCAGAGGACCTGCCGGTTTCCTGTGTCGCGTGGTCCTGGTCATGGTGATGCCGATAGTACCGTAGGAATTGCTCTGATCTTGGGAGTCATGGCATATGGCGACCGTGATGTCGCAACTCTGCAAACTAGAGCCGTCATAGTCGTACTCCTACACTTTGGTGTAGCTCATGTGGCTATTACTCATGCTCACGCTTCGATCATATTGTGAACGATGAAGGGCCTGGTTTCCCCGCACTGCGCTGCGCTGTGAGCTGTTGTCAAGCACCGGAAGAACGACACAGCCCCACCAGCGCAACACTCGCTGAAGCCCAAACCTCCAGGAACATCCTCACGAACTTCTAAGCCTGTGGATGCAGGAGCCAGAATGCAGGCATCCAGCTGGGCATAGTAGGTGTCCTGGCAGCTGAGATCCGTTGGTCGGGCTCTGCCCGCGTGGAGGATATGTGCATCTCTTTCCATCTTAAACAAGTTTCTACTGTGTTGGATTGTGCAGCCCCGGAGGATCGCCCCAATGTTACGGCACTTTGACCAGTTTCAGTTCGGATGGCAGCAGGATTTCTATTTGGCGTCGTTGCTGGATAGCAGCTTGTGAAGTATCATCTGGTGATTGGATCTGCAAAGGGGCCCAGCCGAGGACACGATGGCGACACCCTACCAGTAGACTCCTCCCCTGCAACGGGTCAGATAGCGTAGCAGTCGAGGGTCCGGGGGTTTGGGCCAGCAGAAGTAGTGTAGTGACAATGACAGTAGTCAGGTAGTTCTTTGTTGAGCGTGCCCCTAACAGTATTGAAGGTCCCAATTTAATTTAGTTCTGTTCGAAGGATGATTGTCGCATGATGACTTTATCCATTACGAAGTCTTGGACTTTCAGCCCGTTACCCCACGTAGTCCTCAGCCACAAGGTTGCAACATCCTCGTCTCCTCGATGGAGCTTTGGGCCGAAGCTTTGAACCTGGAGAGGTCGGCTCATGCCAGCAGGGTGCAGACGGTGTAGATGAAGAGCCACCGGCTGCCGATGGTTCCTCGCCACGCCCCACAAATCTCAGTACGTCTTGTGTGCACTGGAAGCAAGGGAGCTTCAGGTCAAACGTCCCGAAGTATGCTTCTGCTTAGCATCGACACGAAGGGGCATCCAACCACCCCGACAAATCCCAGTGCGCTGCCGCAGGACTCTTGCCAAGCTGCAGCCCACGGAAGCCAGCTCAGTGGCAACCTCCGGAGCCATGGCCCAGCGCTGGGCGGAGGCCGGGCTCTTGGGGCCCTTGGGCTATGCCGGTTTCCACGTATTTCGTTCAAGTTACAACTTGAAAGTTGGGCTCTGCTGGTTCACTGAGGAGGGCCAGTTATGGCTGACTAAATGCACTAGCCATAATCCATAACCATAGCCACAACCAGAACCACAACCATAACCATAACCATAACAGCTACGATAACAACAGCAATAGTGAAACTAAAAACAAACAATATCACTAGTAATAACTAGAACGCAGTGACAATGTAACTAATAGCAATAACAATAACAATTACAAGAACGAGAGCAACCAAGAAGACGAGCCGAGCAACAACAGCAACGGCAATAAAAACAATAGTAAGCATCAGTGACCGAAATAAAAGAATTGCAAGTAATACACCTACTCATAATAGCAATGATTAAAATGTATAATGCTCATAAGACTATAAGTAATAATAGTGTAATACAGCAGCATTATTGTGCGTGAACTTGGTGTTGGTGGGAATAACAATAACAATAATAACATGGGTCATAGTAGCATACTAGTAATCGTCATAGTACTAGTCTTAATAATTATACTTATACTCAAAATGAAAATAACAACAATAACACTAGTGACACCACCACCACCACGACGACGACGACGACGACTACTACTACTACTTCCATTACTACGACCACGACTACGACTACGACGACGACTACGGCGA